GGGGGGGGGCCGGGGGGGCGCGGGGGGGGGGGGGGGGGGGGGGGGGGGGGGGGGGGTGGTTAGAGAAGGCTTCCCGGGGACGGGACTCTCAGCCAGAACCGAATGGCAGGCTCCGGAGGGAAGCCCGCCCTGTCTGACCGCTGAGCCATCTGGTTGCTTGCAGCCCAGGCGGACTCCGGGAGCTGGCTGTGCGGCCGCGGGCGGCATCATTTCTCTCCAGGGAAAGTGGCTGGGAGGCCGACTGCAGAGGCCAGAGGCCTGGCCATGCCGGGCCTCCAGCTCCTCCTCTAGCGAGACTCAGAAAGTGCCCCCAACGGCGGCCATGGGTCCTTGGCTGTTCTTGGCGGCCACGAGGAACTGAGGTCCCCAAGGTCACACCCAGGTCAGGGGCAGGAGAATCCCTTAGCCCAGCCCCCACCGGGGCCTGGGCCTGGGCCTGGGCCGGGGCCTGGGAGGCCCGTGCCTGTGGGTGGCCGCAGGTCAGGGAAGCTCACGTGCAAGGCCAGGCCCAGCTCCAGAGCGAAGGAGCAGGGGCCTCGCCTGCCTGCTGCAGCTTCAAAGAGCCTCATCATTAACAAAAGTGCTCCAGGAACGCTTTCTTCCCCCCTTGCTCCTTAAGGCGGCTCCCGAGTGAAAAGGAAAATCTACAGTGAGCAGCGCAGCCGCGGGCGAGCGGGTGAGCCTCAGAGGGGAGCCACGCCTCTGCAGGCCCTGGCCCACCCTCGCCGAGGTGTGGGCTTCCTTTGTTTATTTAAAATGGTCTCTCTCTTTGTCCCTTCCTCCCGATTCAGGCGGTCTCTCGGGCTGCACTTTAAGTCCTTTTGAAGTGTTACAACCATTTTCTCCTCTTTCAATTAGCAGTAAGAGAAGGAAGCTAATAGCTTCCTGAGCGACTCGCTGTAAATATTAACAAAGTCTGGCCTGGCCGCTGGGCCGGGGGGTGTGTTTACGGGAAGGAGGGGAGGGGTGGGAGATTCCCAACACGGAGGCGAAAATCCCTTGGCACCGGCTTCTGCTGGTGCAGGGGGGCGGGGAGCCGGCCGAGAGGGCGCGTGGCCCTGGGGGCCGCGGCTGGCACAGCTGGCGGGAGGGACGTGGACACTTCTGGAAGAAAGGCAGCTCCCGCCAGCCGCACCTGGGCAACTCGGAGGACGCAGGTGCGTGGTCTGGAATCCCCCGCTTGTGGCTTTGATGTGGTCAGTGGGGGAGGTTTGGGGACTGGCTTTTGAATAGAGAGACCGGACGGGGTGCTGATGGTCCCCGGGTGCCCACTGGACCCTGGCACCCACGATGTAGGGCTCCTGAAAGACTCTGAGGCCGGGGAGTGGACGGAGGGGAGTGGACGGAGGGGAGTGGACGGAGGGAGGGCAGGCCTGTGTGAGCGCGCAGAGCCAGGGGCCAGGAGGGACTGCGTGTCTTGCCTCCCAGCTCCACTGCCCACAGCGGCTCGGGGTGAGAGCCCACAGCCACGGTTCTGCCGGCAGAAGCAGGCCAGTTTCCTGAGGAAGGTTGGGCCTTCGCTGGTGGCACCAGGTTCGCCGTCATTCAGGCCCCTGGGCTAGCCACAGGCCTGTGTTGGGAGCAGAGGAGTGACAGAGCCCTGCTGGGTGGGGCCCGGCCAGCTGGCGGCCTCCTTCCCAGGAGCCTGAGCCCAAAGCTGGCCCAGGCCTGCCCCTCCTGGGCCCTACCGTGTTCAGGCCCCCTCTGCCCCTCCCCAGGGGGCCAGCTGCCCTGGCTGGCTCTGTCCCGCTGCAGCCTGGGGCGACGGTGCCCACCTGGCGGCCTTTCTATTACTCGGCTGCATTGTGGGGGCAGCGCCCTAAACTGGTAGGGCCAGGCCTCCACACCCCGCAGTCAGTGCAAGGAAGGGCTGCTGGGCCCAGTGGGCAGGCAGGTGCCCACAGTCCAGGCTGCATGGGCCCCAGGCCTGCTCTGCCAGCTCAGCACGGGGCACGGCTGGATTCCCAGCCACCTCTGGCTGGGAGCTGCCTTGCTCCCCAGGCCCTGGCTCCAGCCCTCACGTGGAGGGAGGGGAAGGGCACCCGTCCTGGCAGGGGGCCCACGTGTTCTCCCGGAGACGCTCTGGCTGAGAAGAGCTGCCCCTGGTCCCTGAGCGGTTGGCTCCCCTGCTCCGGGCACTGCCCACCCAGCTCCCCGAGGCCTGTCTCTGAAGGTGGGCCCTGGCAGTGGTCCAGGCCTGCGGGCCCGGCAGCCGCCCACACACTGGCTCACACACTTGCTCGCACACCCAGCCCCAAAAGTCTGGGTTTTGTCAGAAAACAGTTTAATTAGCAGCGTGGAGGCTTGGAGGGTTCACACTGAGTTTGCAGGCTCTCTCGCCTCCTCCCTTCTCACCCGCCATGTGGGTGCTGTGTGCAGTGCCAAGCCTGGGGGCCCGAGAGAGCGAGAGGGGGGCAGGGTAGGGCCTCTCATCTGCCAGTGCAGAGGGAGGAACTGGAGCCTCCAGCACGCGCCACCCCCCCCCCCAAGCCTCCAGCTGCCCCTGCCCGTGGCACCTAGAACCTTCCTGGTAGTGCTGGCAGGAGAAGGGGAGGGAACCCACACAGCCCCGGGCCTGTCTTCAGGGAGGCCTCCGAGTCAGCCCCTGCCCTCAACCCATGGCTCCCTCCCCTCCAGCCCAGGCCTCTACTCCTGCTCCTGGGGACACGGTCCCAGCCTGTCACTGGTCCCCTCCCACATACCCTGGCACCTTCCAATTCTCCAGATGGTCATGCCTTCCCTGCCCAGGCACCTGTGTTGGCTCCCACCTCGCTCAGTATGAAGAGAGGCCCTCACTCTGCTGGGCCTTCAAAACTCCCCCGAGGCCAGACCCCGCCTCCCGCTTCAGCTCAGACCACTGCGCTCCGCTAACTCAGCGCTTTGGGACACCAGCCCTCCCACCTCACACAGCCCTCCCACCTCTGAGCTTTTGCATATGCTGTTCCCTCAGCCTGAAAGTGCTTCCTACTCCACCCTCTACGGGTTACAGGATCAGTCCGCACTCCAAACGGAACAACCCCCCTGCCCTGGGGCTCTGGCCCCAGCCCTCTGCGCCCGCCCGGAGAGAGGGCACCTGGCCGAGGCAGCCCCCGGGCCCATGCTGGCTCCAGAGGAGTGACCCCCACTCCGCGGGGGGACGCGAACAGGCCCTGGGACGGCCATCCTCATGGGAGGAAGCCAGCGGCCACGGAACAAACTGCAGGTCGGAGGCACAAAGAGCCTTTTCATCTCGGAAGGTCAGACACAGATGCTGACCTCCACCTGGAAGTCCAGAATGAAAGCAAACGCCGGGTCTCCGAGCTCGCGCCGGCTCTGACCTGCTTACAGGGATCTAAACTCAGGCCCCTTTGCACATGTCCAGCGAGGGGGCCGGCGAGGTGCTCATTGAAAACGCCGCCTGGCTGAGTCTCCAGCCGGAAAGCCCACCTGGTGTCCAGCAGCTCATCCTCGGCGTCTGATTAATAACGCGCACATAAAAACCCGTCCCGAGAGCCATAGGTTGAAATGAAGCAGGAGGGCTAATTGCTAATATAAGAATTAATATCAGCGAGGAGCGATCTTTCAGGCAGCCAGGAGCTGTAACGATGGAGAGCGTTTCCATGGCGGGGAAGCCCTGAGGTCCAAAGGGCGGGGGGTGGCTCTGGAAGACGGACAGGTGGTCCGGAGGGGACTGGCCACACCTGGCCCATTCTAGCGCCACCGAGCTCCCCCGTGACTGTCAGGACGTGGGAGTCGGGGACCAGAACCACAGCCCGCGTCACCTTCCCCAGGGAGCCCCTGGGATCCGCACCCTGCCTCTCCTGCCCTCACCCCTGCTTGGCAAGATGGGGCTTCTGGCCCTCCTAATGCCATGTGTCTCCCGCTGCGGCCCTTGGCAAGCCAGTGGCCGCTCTGCGGACCTCAAGCTCCCGGAGGACAGGGGCTCCTCGTTGGGTCCCAGCGTCTTGCCTGGTGCTGGGAGCATGACTGGACTCAGTACATGTTTGCAGGATGGGTGGAGGGGGAGGTGGATGGGTGGGTATATGGAGGAATGGATGGAGGAATGGATGGATGGATGGATATGAGAGGACCTTAGGAGAGACTCAAAACGTCTCAGTGCAGTGGGCCCCGGGGCCGCCTTGCGTTTGTATGTTTCTTTTGTGCTGAGATTGGCATCGTGTAGGGAGAGGGAACTGGCCCAGAGTTTGAGGCCTGGCTGTCATGTTGGTCGTACGTGGACAAGTCCCTTCTTTTTATTTTAAGTCCCCTTTGCGCCTGCACAATGGGGGCGGTCCTCCCTGCTCGGCCAGCCACGCTGGCTGTCCCCAGGCACAGGGAAGACAGCAAAGCAGGAATGACCTGGAAAAGGATAAGGGCCCTTTGTCCGCAGAAAGTGCGCGGTGTGGAGAGGTGGGACCGTGCACTTGGCTTTCTCTCCCCCTTTCAGATTTCTTCTCATGCAGCTGTGATGTTACTACAGCAAACAGTGAACCTGTGCGGGCATCTCGAGCAGTTACAGACGGAAGCTTTTATTCCTTTGACCCAAAAAATGGCTCTTTGGTACCTGAACGCAGAGACGGGTGGGTGGGGGAAGGCGAGGCGAGGCGGGGGTGAGCAGAGGCGGCCTCATGGGGGGAGTGCCCAGGAGCTGGCTGGCCAAGGAGGCGGGGGCCACAGAGGGCTCCCAGCAGCTGAGCCCTTGGGGCCCCACAGATTCATCTCGTCCTTGGTCAACTTGTCTGGCCACAGAGAACGTCCACGCGCCACCGCTGACTTCGTCTGCACTGCGTGGTTTCGCATACTCCATCCAGTCGTGTGCCCACTGGGGACTCCACGGCTCGGCCGGTAGGTGTCCGCCAGAGGGCGCACTTACACATTTGTTCCCGGCCGGTGAATACTAGGAGGCTACTAACACGCATCCTGGTGCCCCCACACATGCAACAAGCTCCCACCTCCAAGCACGCCCACCCACCAAGCTGACCTGGGAACACACACGCACCCCGACACCGAGAGGCACCCCTCAGCCACGGCAGCAGTCAGGACCCCGTGGGCCCTGTGGGGTCTGGGGCATGTGTACGCCTGGCTCCCGGGGAGCTTTGCAGGGCCATGGGGCAGGCGCGGGTAGGGGCAGCGGGGATGGGGGGACAGCAGGGAGGGCAGACCCAGGATATACACAGCTGGATGGGCCAGAGCTCTGCTTGAACCCTGGGCTTTCTACATGAGGAAGCACCGTGGGGAGTTCACGGGGTGCATTAATTAGGCCCCTTCTGTGTGCAAGGCACCGAGCCGGCCACGTCTCAGTGAGCAGTCTCAGACAAGCAGAGCAGTCCCTTCCCTGACCCTGGAGATACTGTGCCACTGCTGGTTTGTGCGACCACCCACCCAAGGCAGGAGGTGAGGGGTGAGGTTAGGTGGGCTGTTGCCGGAGGGGGAACAGCGTGGGGTTTGGGGGAAAGTGGTGGAGACAGGTGGGTGGGCCAGGCAGGGCCAGGCCTTCTGGGACCCTGGAGGCTGCCCAAGAGCACTGCCCCGACCCCGAGGCTGCCCAAGAGCACTGCCCCAACCCCGAGGCAGCCCAAGAGCACTGCCCCGACCCCGAGGCTGCCCAAGAGCACTGCCCCGACCCCGAGGGCTGTGGGAAGGGCCTGATGCAGCGGGTGAAGCTGCCTTCCTGCATTCATAGTTTCTGAACTCTCTGTCTTGGGGGACCAGCGGCTGCCTCCACGCGCCTGCCCCCCCTCCAACCCCTACGGTACAAAAGTTTCCTCGCCTCGACCAGGGGGCAGATGACCTCATTGGGCTCTTTCCATCTCTTGCTTTCACAGAGGAATTACCGTTTATAATTGGATGGAATCCCACGGGTGCAGGAGCGATCAGAGCCCACACTGGAGCCCAGCGTCACCCCTCACGCGGGGGCTCTGTCCTCATCTTCCCTCCTGTCCAGCCCCCACCCTGCCCCTTCCTGGGGGCCACTCCGCCGCTGGCTCACACCTGCTGTCCCCCGGGGCTTGGTGGTTCTAAACCTCCTTGCTCCTGGGGAAGCTTGTCCCCAAACCTGCCCCATCCTGTGGGCCCCATCGGCCTGCTCGGCCTGGCCAGCGCCGCCCCTCTGAGTGCAGCCCTGCCAGGCTGGGCGCCCCGTGGGCAGGGACCCCCAGTCTGGGCTCTGGGCTTATTAAAACACATGCCCCAAAAATTCGTTTTTATTTGGAACAGCCCCTGACAGTAAGCATTTCTCAAACCCGCCACCTTCAGCCCTACAAAGCCAAGTGCCCAGATGCAGCCGAGCCCATCTGGATCCTATTTCAAACCAGAGCTGACACTCAGATGTGTAATGAAAGCACTTTCCAAAGAGGGGCTCCTGCAGGGGGAGTCGGGACACCAGGGCAGCGGGCCTCCGCGCCAGGCCAGTGAGAGGCTGTGGGTTTGTTGGGATTCCTGCAAACAGCCGGCCCTGCCCCCAGGACTGTGGAAGGGCAGGTGGGGCGCGGAGCCCTGACCCCAGCCTGGGGAGCCGGTGGCCGCAGGAGGGAGGCCGGGACGCAGCTTCCCTGGTCCCCCGATGCTCCTGCTCGCGAAGGGCAGCGGAACGGCAGCGCTTGTTCTGGAAGCCGAGGCCACAGGGCCCAGTGGGGTCCAGCTGCTGGGGGAGCGGACCTCTGGGCTGGGGCAGGGCCCCTGCAGCCTCAGGTGCTCTCAGGACTTCCTTTCTCTCGTTCCCGCGCCCCCCCACCCCCACCCCTGGGAAAAGGGGAGCCAGGGCTCTGGGGAAGGAACTGTTTGTTACTGGGTTTGAGAAGAGAAGGGAGGTGGTGGAGAATGGTCCCAGGCCCTCCCAGCTCATGGGAAAGTGCCTTCAAGAACAGGGTGCCAAGGGATGGGAGGAGAGGGGTCGCAGCCCCAGCAGCCTGTCCCCGGGGAGCTCCTAATTCCAGGGTTTAATCACTTCCTTTGTTTTTTGGCAGGTGAGGAGGCAGGGAGTGGGTGAGGAGGACTCCTTTTTGGACAGACAAGGCCAGGAGGTGAAGCAGGAATAACCCATCCCTCACCCCCGCCCCCACATCCCTGCGAGAAAACCTCTCTGCAAACAGGGGCAGCCAAGCAGGACCGAGCCCCCGCCCCCAAGCATCTTCCCAAAGAGGGGCCGGTGGGGCCTGACAGCTCGGCAGCGCATGTCACAGCTCAGCCCGCCGTGTGCATCTGAACTCCTCCGCGGGTAATGGACTCCCGCCCGCCCCGGGAGACGGAGACGCAGCCCGAGTGGCAGGAGCGCCGCGTCTTTGGAGAGTGGCTCCTTCTCCTCTCTGTCTCAGCAGAGCGCTCCCTGCACGGGAACCCATTCTGCCAAGTGACTTAAAAGGGATTAAAAAATAAAAAAAGACCTTGGTAAAGAAAAGGGGGTAAAAGCCACGCAGAAGCCTTTTGGAGGAGGTGGTGGCCAGCAAGACAAAGAGCACAAGTAGAAAGAGGCAGCAAGAGGCCGCCCGCCCGCCCCGATGGGCGCCGGGCCGTAGGGCATGCCTGGGGCGCAGGGGCCCAGGACACCCGCAGGCCGTGCACGGGAGTCGGGGCTCCGCCGGGGAGAGGCCCGCAGTGCCCGGGGCCCAGGCCGTGCAGAATGCTGCTCTGGACCCACAGCCCCGCCTGACCTCGAGGAGCCCAGAAGAGTCCAGCACAGGGCCTCCTCCTGCACGCCGGGCTGCCCCCAGCGCCCCAGGTCTGCGGTCTGCACCCCGAGTGCCAGGGCTGAGGCCGGAATGTGAGCGTGGCCCAGGCCCACCTGGACCCAAGCACAGCATCCAGAGCGGCATCCAGAGCGGCCATCCCAGCCAGACCAGCGGCTCAGCGAGGGAGGTGAGGCGGACGGGAAGGGCCCCGGTGGTGCAGGCAGGCCCGGGGCTCCTGGTGCCCAGGGAGGGCATACAGAGAAACAGCCGGCCCGCCCCTCCCCAGGCCGGGTCAGACGGGGGCCGCACAGAGCTCCCCAGCTCTGTAGCTCTCCCAGCCACCCACACAGGTAGTGCAGGCCGCTGGCCACTCTGCGTGCCAGGGGAGGGCTCACTTGCTACCTGGTGGCCCCGTGCTGCGGGCTCCGTCCCAGGGTGGGTGGACCCAAGGTGCAATGGAGTGGTCTCTCAGGAGTCACTGCTGCACACCTTCCAGGCCCTGCTGTCCTTGGAGGTGGGTCTCGCTTTGAGCCCCTCTGAGTTCTGCCCAGAGGGGGCAGCAGCGAGGCCGCGGGGAGCAGGACTTTGGTGGCTTCAGTGCTGGCGAGGAGGACCCAGCCAAGGCCCCGCACCCGCTGGCCTTTGGGCAGCCCCTGCTCGGCTTCCGGCTCAGCCCCAGAAGGGCAGTGAGTGCGAAGACGGATGGGAGCAGCTGGCTGGGATCCCAAAGGTCTGCCAAAGCTGGGCCAGCGGGGGGCAGGGTCCTGTCCTGTCTCCCCATCCCCAGAGGCCAAGAGGGTGGACTCAAGCCTCCCCAGACACAAATCCTGGCAACCTGGAGCGGAGGCGGCGCCCTGGGCAGGGCAGGGAAGCCCCAATTCATTAACAAGATGGAAAATGACACTTCCCCGCGCGCTTCCCCAGGAGAGGGGCTGATTTATGACGGCTCCGGGCCGGGACATTCGTCAGCGCGGCGTGGCGCGCACGCCGTCTGCGGGGGCATTAACAGTGTGTTATTAGCCACCAGCGTGAAAGATGCCCTGCGGATGGGCTATTTGCTGTTATTTATTGTGGAGGTGCCAGCCCAGCAGCAGGGCCGGCTGGAGCCTGAGCTTGGCCCCTGCCCGACTGCCTCCCTGATGCTTGTCCCCCTTCTCCTCCCAGCCCCGTCAAGGGGGTGCGGGGGGGGGGGGCGGGCGTCATCCCTGGGGCTGAGGCCAGGACGGGAGGGGGCAGCTGGTATGGTCCCCCAGGCCTGTTCCCTAAATATTTATGGAGAACCTGTTCCATGCCCGGCTCTGCCTCGAAATGGGCTGGGGAGCCCGTCGGACGTGGGCTGGTGGCTGGCCTTCCAGGTGTGAGCGGCGTGACCTTGGGCCCCTCCCTGAGTGCGCTGCCCTCTGTGCACTGGAGGCCCAGGCTCCGCAGGGTGTGGCCGGGGTTTGTGAAGGGCCGGGGTGCAGCAGGCGCTCAGGCTGGCCATTTACTGCCACTACCTGGTCTGACCCCAGAGGGCCAGAGGGGCTGACCCCCGGGGGGCGGGGAAGCAGCCCCCATGAGACCCTGCTTCAGCCAGACACTGTCCATCATCGCCTCCTGTGCCCACCCCCAGGAAAGGGCTTGAGAGGCGGTGCCAAGGCCGGAGGAGGCAGGCAGGGAGAGGGCTGTCCACAGCTGCTGGAGGGTTCTCTCTGCCCCGGACCCGTCCGTCCCCTCCCTGGGCCTCTGTAAACAGCCGATGATCTGCGAGATCCTCTCCCTCCCCAGCCCTGAGAGAGGGTTCCCCGCACACCCCGTGTGTATCTGTGGGAGTGGGAGGGAGGGGCCATCTCTAAGAAAGCGGGGCCGGCCTCTGACGCCTGGAGGGGGACCTGCAATTGGGCGGTTCCAGGCTGGTCACCCCATATGAGAGGAGAAGAGTGGGGACAGCAGGGGTCTGCCTTGGGTTTGCGCCCTCCCAGGGTGGGGCCTCCCTAGCTGAGGGGCAGGTAAGACACTGGGAAGGGGAGAGCAATGGACATGGAGTCCAAGGCCTGGGCTGTGTCGGCCTCTCCACCACGCTATGCACAATTCAGACCAGGCCCTCTGCCTCTCGGGGCCCCATGGTTACCTCCTGGTGGGGCTGACGGAGGGCCGGCCTCTCTCTTCTCTCCTACGGCCGGGTCCTGGGATTCAGATTCTAGGGCTTCCCTTTTGGCGAATTCATCCATCCATCCATCCATCCATCCACCCATCCATCCATCCATGCATTCATTCATTCATCCATTCACAGATGTTTACGGGCACCCCCCGGGCCAGGCTGTGGGCAAGGCTCATGGATAAGACAGAACGTGGTAGGAGTTTGCTTTCTCGAGGCAGGGTTTGCACAGTCAGCTTGTCCTACATACTGGGGAGGGGGGGTGGGTCTCACCAGGACCAGGGCCTGCATGGTGAAGGTGCCCCACCTCCGCCCAGCTCCCAGCCTCCGCCACATGGTCGGCAGCATCGCCAGACATTGTCTTTCCGGGTCACCCGCTCCTCTCTCGGCCCCTGGCTGCCAGGATCCCGGCTGCTGAGGAGGCCGGCAGGGCAGGCCCAGGGGACCACTGCCCTGTTCTCTGGGGCTGTCCCAGCCCTGCAGGCGCTGCCCTCCCTCTTGCTTCCTCCCAGCCCCCCAGAATAAAGGCCCTGGGGCCCCCTCCTACCGCTGAAACTCCCCAGCCGCTCCTTTTCCTTCCCAGAAGGAACTGAGCCTAAGTCTAGGCAGCTTCACTAAAAATGCACGCTGACGGGGGAAGTGTCAGGTGTGGAACTGCTTATTAAATGACGCCGGAGAGAAAGAGACAATTACACGTGTCTCCTTTCATCCCCCCTCCCCCTCCTGGCCCTGAACGGTGTCATATCGAACACTGTTATCAATATAATTAACCTCCTAAGACCCAATTTTAAAGTCTTATTTTTAAAAGCGATTTACATTCTCTGAAGTTCAGGACACCCCGGCCCCCGGCCCCGCCCAGGCGGCCTGCGAGGGGAGATGAGCTGGAGGTACTAGTACATTTTCAGTGGATTTGCATACCTGCCTGCAATTACCGCCAGTGATAACTACTGATGCATAATGCATGCAGCATGAAATTAGAAAAATAATTAACTTCAGGCTTTAAAAGAATCCCCACCCCAACCCCCCACGCATTACAAGTTCTCAATGGCACCAGGAGACAGATCAGGCGTGGAGTTGTGCAGTGTGGGGTGAGAAGGGCCTTGAGGGCCGTGACATCCAGCCCCCCTCCGCCCTAAGGAGGTGTCCCGTGGGCATAGGCTGCTAAAACCCCAGGTTCCCCTCCTCACCGCCGCCCGCCGGCCGCCGCATCTCCTGGACCTGCAGGGGAGCGCTGCCCATCGCTAATGACGGCGCTGGTCCCGGTTCTGACCTCCACTCTGCCTCAGGCCCTCTGCGCAGGCTTGAACATAACCGTCCTTTATCCGCACAAGAACCCAGGGGAGTGGATGGTTCACGGTCCGTCTTGCGGATGAAGGCCTGAGACCCGAGGCCATACCTGCCCTCTCAGGGGAGGGGCGTCCTGGAGGGGGCAGCTCCCAGGCCTCTGGGCAGAGAGGTAGAGGCTGCTCCCCCCTCTGCCTCTTGACCTCCCTCCCTCCCTGTGGCTTATAACCGGGGAGGTCGTGTGGGCTGGTGAAGAAGAAAATGTGGGGCCCTCATTATTTAAACAAAGATTTGCTGAGGACCCATCACAGATACGGAGGGGACCCTGCCTGGTGGGTTGGGGTCCCCCCACCTTCCCCTTCCTGGGGCTGAAACTGCTTCTGTCCCCTGTCTGCCCTGCACACCTCGCTCCTGCCTGGGGCCCTGCTCTGCCAGTGGGTGCGGGCCTGGCAAGGTTTAGGAAAACACAACAATTCTTCTAGCTGAAGGGAGGGTCTGGGAGGGGGGGCGAGGGGCGGCCTCTGTCCCGCCTCCGCTTCCCGGCCCTCTTGTGTCTGCCTTCCCTCTTCTGAAGCTCAGCCAGGACTAGTGGGCAGCCGCCCCGAGTGGCCATAGGAGGGCCTTGGGGTCCTCCCTGGGGACAGTTGGGGCAGCTCTTCTTCCCAAAACCACCAGGCCTGTGCTGGGCACTCCCCGCAGCCCTCCCTCAGCGGCACATTACAGATGAGGAGACCGAGACCCAGAGAGGCATCACCGCCGGTCACGCCGCTGCCGGGGACTGGGGAGGCCAGGTTCTAACCCAGCGCCCGTTACAGATGAGGAGACTGAGACCCAGAGAGGCATCACCGCCGGTCACGCAGCCGGGGACTGGGGAGGCCAGGTTCTAACCCAGCGCCCTGCTGTCCTCTCTCCTCACACGCCTCTTTCTTGGAGTCACCGCCACCCGGAATTCTCGGATTCCTCACTGGCGCTGATGGGCCCGCGCTGCTGCCGGGTTGTAGGGCCAGTGCTCCCACCCAGCCTGCGGGGAGGGGCTGAGGAAGCACAAGGTGAGGAGTCCGCCAGGTAGCAGCGCGGCCTGGCCTGTGGGCTCCCAGTGCACCTGGAGGCTCAGCAGGCAGGGGAGTGAAGACGGGGCTGGTGGGAGCAGAGGACAGAGACAAGCAGTTGACACAGAGCCTCGGCCCGCGTGGCTGGGGCAGCGGGAGAATCACAGCAGCTGTGAAACCTCAGGCATATGTCACATCCAAGCTGCCCTTATGAGGGGGTCCTTTGCACGTATTACCTTAATGCATCCTCAATGGCCATATTTATAGATGAACTGAAGCTCAGAGAGGGCAAGTAACTTGCTCAGGGTCACACAGCCTGGAGGTGGCCGAGGCAGGACTCAAACCCAGGTTTCTCTGTCCTGGAAGATGGCAGGAGCTAGTAGCAAAGGCCAAGAGCGGTGTCCCTCGGCTGATAGGGGTCTGGATACCTCCAGTCTGAGCCACTTCACTCCTTCCCTCCCCTCCCCCCAACAGCAGATCAAGGATCCTGCTGTCAGTCATGGAGCTGGCAGGCCATAACTCACACCCTGCTGAAGTCTGTGGGACCCGTGCAGCGATGACAAGGGGCCCGGTAAAAGACAGGCGATTTACCGGGTTTAATTTGATGGCCACATAAACCACCCAACGCACAACTAGGGAATAAAAAGGCTGCCTAGCACCTGGGCAATTAATGGGCTCCTCCAGCAAGGCGTGCCCCCCCCCCCCCCCAGCCCAGGCCCCGCCCTACTCTCCCAGAACCAGGGGGCTCAGAGTTGGTGGCCTTGCGGAAGGGCTAGCAGAAGAGACTTGAGCCAAGATGGATGAGGCCCATCCATAGAGGAGCAGAGAGGCCTTGGGTCCCTGCCTCCCAGATGCTGGTTGGTTATCCATCAGGCATCTCTGAAATATGCAATTTACACTCCGTCATTGATGCCGGGGCCTCTGGAGGCTGCCGGCTGCAGCCATGAGCTGAGTGGGTACCGGGAACGGACTTCCATGCCAGAGAAGGCGGCGGCTGACCTTGCCTTTGGCCTGAACAAGCCTGCCCCCTGCTCAGGGCACTGGCCTGGCACAGCAGAGCGCAGGGGCCGCCCGCATCCCCTGCCAGGACGCAGCCTTGGCAGACCAGGGTGGGGGGTGTCCTCTGACCATTTGCTGGGGCCCAGGCAGAGGCTCCCCCAGGCTTGGCCTTGACCCCTGAGACCGAGGGGGTGGCCTTGGGCAGGCCTGCACCTTCCTGTCCTCAGCACCTGCCCTGTCCCTGACCCTCTGCTCATAAGCAGCTTGGGACAGGACCTCCAGGCCCCATCACCTTCGGGTTCTGGCTCCATGCAGGGTAAGGAACAGATGTGCAGCTAGAAACCCGGGCTGGCTGGACCCTGGGTAGGCCCCTCACCCCTGAGCCTCAAGCTGCTCGGCTGTAAAATGGACCGGAGGACGTGTGTGTGTATGACAGGGTGAAGGTACAGACATAGGCCTGTGAAGGGGGTGGGTGAGGTCTGGCTCGAGGGCTCCCCCTGCTGCCTGGGCTCATCCCTGTCCTCTGGAGGTCGGCCTACCCAGGTCTATGGGACCATTCCCTGCCCAGAGCCCATCCGTCCTATGATCTGGGCCAGGGCCCTTCCCAGTCCCGGGTATGACGACAGGTAGGGGAGTCAGTGGTCAGATAAGGTCGGGCAGCCTGGGATACCCAGGCTCCTCCCACATCTTACGCGGTGGCTCTCAATGCCGCTGAGGGCAGGAGGGGCTGGGGAGCATGGTGCGAGGCTCTGGGTGGGAGATGAGAGAGGGAAGTGGCCGGGGAGCCTGGTCAGGGAAACAAAGACGACAGCCTAACCTGCAGGAAGCGCAGACCACCTCCACGTTCCGAGGGTGGAGTGTGAGTGGGGTGAGGACCCATAGCCTGGGCTGGGGGCCGAGAGGTCTGAGGCTGCAGTCCTTGGTCCCTCAGGCTGTGGGTGCTGGTGGAGGGAGCCTGAGCTGGCTTCAAGGGCCCCGATGCTGGGCATGGCTCAGCCCCCCTCTTCCTCCTCTGGTTCCAGGTGCAGACCCCCGGCACCCTTCCCCCCGATCCTCAGTTGCTTCCAGCCAGGTGTCCTGGGCTGGCCCTTGACCTGCCCTGGGGGGCCCTGTAGACAAAGCTTCGCGCTGCAAACAGGCCCTGGGCAGGTTCGTGCATTAGTGGCGGGGAAGCCTGAGATCTCTCCAGAAGCCTTGGAGCTGCAGGCTGGGCAAGGCCCCTGCAAATGCAAATGGCATGAATGTGGGGGGCTCGTGGAAGAGGTGCTCCCACATTCTCAGTCCCTTCTGTACTCGGTGGTCACTGATGCCAAGCCACGCCAGGCCACCACAGCCCCTGGCCCCGGCCCTCGAGCGCCCGAGATGTGGTTGCAACATTAAAACACGATAGTCACCAAAACAGCATGACCCGCAGTCCACAGACACTCAGCGCTTTGGGCCTGGTGACCAAGATTCTGGCCGAGGCTCCCCCTTACCACCGCTCCAGTGGGCGTGACTAAGTTCACATCTCATCTGTGAGATGGGAATGAGAAGGGCTCTGACCTCCTGGGTGCTGGGAGGATTAAATGACTTAATTCCTAAAGCTCTAGGTGAGGTCTTCGTTATAGGATGAGCTACCATCCCCCCAGAATTGAATCACAAGTGGCCAGAACAAGTGGCATATGGTATGGGCTGGACAGACATCTGTTGGGTGACTGGATGGCCAGCTGCATGGATGGATGAGTGAGTGGGGGATGGACAGACGGATGAGTGAGCGGGGGATGGCGGATGGATGGACGGATGGATGGACAGATGGATGGATGGCTCAGTGAGTGGATGGGTGGATAGAAGGCTGGATGACGGAGCAGACGGAAGCTCTTTTGGCATCAGGAAGCCCATCAGAGGAGAGGGCATCTGAGCCTGGTCCTGAAGGGTGAGGAGCAGTTTGCTAGACGGAGAAGAGCAGTCCTGGTATAGAGACAGAGAAGGAAGAGGGTGTGACAGGGCTGAGACACGGAGACACTTGGCCGCTAGGGCGTGGAGTGAGGCCCCGACTGGCTCCCGCGCTGAGCGGGTCCCGATTCTGCTCTGTACACCAGGGCTGCCCCGGCCGGGGACTCCGTGTGGGCTCCAAGGGGCCACTGTCCCACCCCTGAAAAGCCTTCGTGAACCGGGATTGATACAGCAGGCCTTGGCCTGCCGCGTGGAGATACCTTCCCCACTGAGGTTGAAAGATAATTTCTCTTTAATTGCTTTTTTTAAAAAAACCATTATGAACAGTAAAATAATGAAAAAGGTCTATGCTGCAATTTTTCCATTTGTGAAAACTGAAATTACACCTCCAGGCAATTCCCTCAGAGCATGGATCCCTCCCTCCTTTTGTGTCTCATTTCTTTAAATGTAACAAAAACATATACATATATACACATTCAAGTTTTGTGACTTTCGGAAGGGGACAAGGTGTGGAGTCATCTCCCACAGAGCGCAGAGCTAGGGAGGGCGCCTCTGATGAAGAGAGATTTCTGTAAATACGCGAGAAAGCAGTTCTGTTGACACCTTCTTCCTCTGTCTATAAAATGCACGAGTGACACAGGACATGTTTTAACACCAGACAATGAAGCGCCCGCTCTCCACCGCTCAGCAGTGACGGCGCTGGCAGCTCCTTTTCCGCAGGTTCTGGTCACGCCCCCCCCTCTTTGAGCTCGCAGGCCTCCCCGAAACAAGCTCTCCCGGCAAACCCTGGGCCTGAGCCAGATGTCAGTTCCTCACTCCAGTGAGAAATGGCTCGGAATCCATAAAACACGCCCTAAATCCATCCCATCGACATGGACCGTGAAAACTGGTTCAGTGTGAAATCTTGAAGGAAGAAAGCGGAGCTGCGGGGTGGCCGTTGCTAGATGAGCCTCGCCCGAGGCGCAGGGTCGCCGTCCTGCCCTAAATCCATCCCATCGACATGGACCGCCACGCGTGGCATTAGCCGTAAAAACTGGTTCAGTGTGAAATCTTGAAGGAAGAAAGCGGAGCTGCGGGGTGGCCGTTGCTAGATGAGCCTCGCCCGAGGCGCAGGGTCGCCGTCCAGGAGGGCAGGCAGCCTCCGTCTCATTCACGGGCAACGTGTCACTCCCACTGAGGTTTGAAGTTAGCCAGAGTCCAACTCAGCCTGAGTGGTCACCTGTGACATAACCTGGGCACTGAGGGGCCGGGTGCCTGTGCCTCCAGGCTGGATTTCTGCCCCACGTCCCCGCCCGCAGCGGCCTCTTGGTGGCACACGGGTGGCCGCTGCGACTCAACGCCCTCTCACCGCACGTGTCTTGTGCTCCTTGCAGGTGTTGAGGCCCCAAGTCAGGTGAGGCCCGGTTCCCCCCGCCATCCACCATGGTGGTGGCACACCCCACTACCTCCGCCACCACCACTCCCGCTGCCACGGTGACGGCCACTGTCGTGATGACCACGGCCACCATGGACCTGCGCGACTGGCTGTTCCTCTGCTACGGGCTCATCGCCTTCCTGACCGAGGTCATCGACAGCACCACCTGCCCCTCCGTGTGCCGCTGCGACAACGGCTTCATCTACTGCAACGACCGGGGGCTCACCTCCATCCCCGCCGACATCCCCGACGACGCCACCACCCTCTACCTGCAGAACAACCAGATCACCAACGCCGGCATCCCCCAGGGCCTCAAGACCAAGGTCAGCGTGCAGGTCATCTACCTGTACGACAACGCCCTGGACGAGTTCCCCGTCAACCTGCCCCGCTCCCTGCGGGAGCTGCACCTGCAGGACAACAACGTGCGCGCCATCGCCAGGGACTCGCTGGCCCGCATCCCGCTGCTGGAGAAGCTGCACCTGGACGACAACTCCGTGTCCACCGTCAGCATCGAGGAGGACGCCTTCGCCGACAGCAAGCAGCTCAGGCTGCTCTTCCTGAGCCGGAACCACCTGAGCAGCATCCCCTCGGGGCTGCCCCGCACGCTGGAGGAGCTGCGGCTGGACGACAACCGCATCTCCACCATCCCGCTGCACGCCTTCAAGGGCCTCCACAGCCTCCGGCGCCTGGTGCTCGACGGCAACCTGCTGGCCAACCAGCGCATCGCCGACGACACCTTCAGCCGCCTGCAGAACCTCACCGAGCTCTCGCTGGTGCGCAACTCGCTGGCCGCCCCGCCCCTCAACCTGCCCAGCGCCCACCTGCAGAAGCTCTACCTGCAGGACAACGCCATCAGCCACATCCCCTACAACACGCTGGCCAAGATGCGCGAGCTGGAGCGCCTGGACCTGTCCAACAACAACCTCACCACGCTGCCCCGCGGCCTGTTCGACGACCTGGAGAACCTGGCCCAGCTGCTGCTCCGCAACAACCCCTGGTTCTGCGGCTGCAACCTCATGTGGCTGCGGGACTGGGTGAAGGCGCGGGCGGCCGTGGTCAATGTGCGCGGCCTCATGTGCCAGGGCCCCGAGAAGGTCCGGGGCATGGCCATCAAAGACATCACCAGCGAGATGGACGAGTGCTTCGAGGTGGGGCCACAAGGCGGCGCGGCCCATGCGGCCGCCAAGACCACCGCCAGCAACCACGCCTCTGCTACCACACCCCAGGGCTCCCTCTTCACCCTCAAGGCCAAGAGGCCGGGGCTGCGCCTTCCCGACTCCAACCTTGACTACCCCATGGCCACGGGCGATGGCGCCAAGACCCTGGTCATCCACGTGAAGCCCCTGACAGCGGACTCCATCCGTATCACGTGGAAGGCCACGCTCCCTGCCTCCTCCTTCCGGCTCAGCTGGCTGCGCCTGGGCCACAGCCCGGCCGTGGGCTCCATCACAGAGACCCTGGTGCAGGGGGACAAGACAGAGTACCTGCTGACGGCCCTGGAGCCCAAGTCCACCTATATCATCTGCATGGTCACCATGGAGACGGGCAACACCTACGTGGCCGATGAGACGCCCGTGTGCGCCAAGGCGGAGACAGCCGACAGCTACGGCCCCACCACCACACTCAACCAGGAGCAGAATGCCAACCCCATGGTCGGCCTGCCCCTGGCGGGCATCATTGGGGGCGCTGTGGCCCTCGTGTTGCTCTTCCTGGTCCTGGGGGCCATCTGCTGGTACGTGAACCGGGCCGGGGACCTCCTGACCCGGGAGCGGGCCTACCACCGAGGCAGCCAGAAAAAGGACAGCTATCTGGAGTCGGGGACCAAGAAGGATAACTCCATCCTGGAACTCCGAGGCCCGGGGCTGCAGATGCTGCCCATTAACCCTTACCATGCCAAAGAGGAGTACGTGGTCCACACCATCTTCCCCTCCAACGGCAGCAGCCTCTGCAAGGGCACGCACACCATCGGCTACGGCACCACCCGGGGCTACCGTGGCGGCGGCATCCCCGACGTAGACTATTCCTACACATGATGCCCGCCGGGCCGCCCGCCCCCGCTCCCACCTCCTCCTGGCGCGGCGACCCCGTGGCTTTGCCCCGCTTGCTGCCATCCGACACAGCAAGGAGAAGAAACTCCACGGCGACTTTCCCAGCAAAAAGCAGCGTTGGGGGAGGGCTGACACTTTTCTAGAACACAGCCGAGAAAACAAGTTTTTTTAAGGACAGAAGACGGGAGGGGGGTGGGTTGACGTTGCTGAAGACATAATTTATACCAAATTATGCCAGTTGGGGAGGGAAGGACTAAAAATAATATTGCAGGAAGGGTTGGGCCAGGGTGTTTTCCCCTGAAGTGGAAAGATACTACCTGTACCGAGTCTGTGCGCGCCTCCTGCCCTGTTCAGGGCCGTCACGAGGGGACCGTCGGAGAGAAGCCGCCGTGGGACACAGAGGCCCCCGCGCAGCGCTCGCTGCCAGCCGCTCCCCGGCAGCCACGAGATGGGCAAGGCTCGGGCCTCTCACCAAGGAGAGCGGGAGGAAGAGCTTTTCTTCAGTCTCTCCCCGGTTCTCCCCCTACCATTTCCCTCGCAGATCTCCAGAAATATCGCGTCTTTTACTGCGTTCTTTGAACAATGATGTAACCGATTAAAAACTAAAGTCCCTTTTTCCTACCGGAACCCTCTCCACTTCCATGGACCACACGCTGTGGAAGCCCTCCGGAAGCTGCGGCCTTCCCGGCCACTTGGAATCGCGTCTATCCACCCATCGCGAGGTTGCGTCTCTGAACTCGGACGGGTCGATAGAGCCGCGGAGACGGTCCTGACCCCGCTTCTTGGGTCGGTTCGTACCATTTCTTGAGACAATAGAGTCATGAACATGTTGCTTTCCCCTAACGATCATTGAGTAAGTAGACACGGTGTGTTGGGGATCGGAGTGGGGTGGGGGGACAATGCCGTTCCTAAAGGCAGAGGCGTGTCTGTTCTGGGCGGGTGGCTGGGGGGACCCTGGGCAAGGGATGCTTCCAGTTTGATCCTATCTCAGGTTGCCCAGAGCTGGGCCATGCTCCTTTCTGCTATAGAGAAACTTCCTTTAACTGCCAGTATCTTCATCCCCCCCGCTCCCCCCCCCACACACACACACATGCAGTCACCTCAGTACTCCTTCTCTGTGCTCTGCTTCCTCCTGGGACAGGTAGCTGGTGCAGGGATGGGTTCTGTGTGTTTTTTTACATCAGCTGATTAGACTTAATGGTTTCCATGGCTGCTCAAACAACACCCAGAAAAAGACATGAAGATTCTCAGAAAAACCCCCGGGGAAAACTCCTGAGTGCAAAACACTCAGCTGGACTGTTCCAGAGGCGGAGGCCCAGGTCTCCCGAGAAACAAGCCGGCCCCCAAAAGGGCACTGACCGGGGCCCTCCCAGAGTTAAGGCTGATGGTCTCCCCCCGGAAGCAGCGTGGCCGTCATTTATCAGCTGGCGGTGCAGCGTGGCGAGCCGTGAGACGAAAATGACGAAATAACGACACAAACCCGGACGGAAGAGCGGACGGGCGCTCAGGGCTCGGCTCGCCCTGCATCCCTGCTCTCGGGAACGGGGTCGCCCTCCGTCAGCATGCCACGTGCCCTGCACCGGCAGAGCAGTGTCAGAGGAGCGGCGATGGCCGGAGGGCAGGGAGGATGAGAAGGGGTCCAGCTGCTGGTGGCGGCGTTTTCAAAAGGCCTCAGCTGCTCTGACAAAAGCCAAAAGCAGGAGGGCGAGACTGAACAGCGGTCCCAGGGCCTGGGCTGACTGCTGGATGGACATGAAAAGATGCTGCTGGCCCTTCAGGGAAGGGGGTGGGCAGGAACGGACACGAGACCTGAGATGGAGGAGAGACGCAGCCGGGCTCGCCGTGGCCTGGCCGACAGAAGGGTCCCACCAAGTGGGGCTCCCCGCTCCCCAGCCCCAGGGACGGGCCGAGGGGCAGGGACACCTTGCATTTGAAAACAAACCTTTTTCCCTTTTCCTGTTTTCTCAGTGTCAGGAGAGAGATTTTCCAAGCCTTAATTCCACGTGTGTATAAAGGTGGCCTCCCTTTGGCCTGTGGGGCCTCCAGACACAGGCTCGTCCCCATTCCCGGCAGCACGGAGGGGCAGAGGGGCGCCGGGGTGTGGCTGGGAGGAGAGGGTGCGCGCAGGGGTGGGGAGCTGGCTGGAGGGCAGGCGTCCATGGTCTCTGCTGTTTCTGAAGTGAGGTCCCCTCCCTCAAGGCACCACTCCTGCCTTCCGCCAGTGTCCCAGGAAAGTTGGTCCCTGGACACCCCACTGTCAGCCCCCAGGCCCCCACTGCCCACGTGCTCATTCCCCCCTCCCACTCGAGGCCCTCCCTCCTCCTCTCGCCAGGCCAGGCGGAGGTCCGGTCATCCCTCCGAGGCTGGGAAGGCACCGGGGGCAGTAGGGGGCTCAGTCCGTGGGGCTGCGTGTAAGGGAGGGGGGCCTTGCAGGCCTGGAACCAGCCTGTGCGGAACATTCCCCCCAGAGCATTAAGCAGGCCTGGCCCCGCCCAGCCCCAGGACAGAGTCCCGCTCCTACTCCGGCTCTTGCACGACCAGCGCTCAGGCAGGGCTCACACGGGGGCTCAGAGCCCAGGTCCTGCCTGACTCGCCGCGCATCGTCCCACCCCTGTAGGCGCAGAAGTTCGTGGAGACCTGGCCCAGCCAGCGCCCTGGGGCCCGCCCTCATCTTTTCTGCCCTAAGCACCCCAACATCTTCCCAGCGTTCTGTCTGAGAGCGGGACCGGGATGTCTGCTGCCTCACATCCCCCCAAGCCAGGGAGGGGCCTAAAGCCAGGTCCACTCTGAAACCCCACTCCCTCCCGATCCAACTCCCCCGCAGCTGGCCACATAACCACGAGAGGGAGGATGTTCCAGGGCCCCCACCCCACCCCCCTGGACGCATGTGAGGACACAGGGCCCGTGAAGACAAGCCGGGACCTGGGCCACCACTTCTGTCTAGAATCTGCCTTCGGTGGGTGGCCCGCCGGACCCTGGCAGCCTCTAACCAGCCAGGGCAACCTTGCTGGCCTCGGCGGGGATGAGTGCATTTTGTGGCATTTAAAGCAGGTTTAAAGCAAAAAAAAAAAAAAGCCCACGACATTTCTTTGGTTGGTTAAGTGGTTTACCCTTCGTGGTAATTAGATGTAGTGATTGGACTCTCTTTTCTATTACATGGCAATTTTCCTTTAAATTTCCCCTTTAAAAAAAAAAAAAAAAAAGGAAGGAGAGCAGGGAAGGAGAGGCGGCAGCAGGGCCAGGCGAGCCATTTGCATTTTGCGAATGAGGCCTCTAAGCTCAGCTCAGGCGTTGGGCCCAATGTATGGAATGCTTCAGAGATGACTAAGAATAAAATCTATTAATTAGTTATACTCGGCTCCACAGACATGACGTGCATCAAAAGCTCCTTTTCTTCCCCGTTCTCCGTCCCTCTTCCTGTGGCCTCCTGAGGAAGCCTCCATCTTCTCCTTGAAATTGGCTCCGGCTTCCTGGACCGCCTCCATGGTAACAGGCCGGTGGCTAACCAGGGGGCGACCCCGCCAGGAGCTGGGGCAGTGGCTTCTCGCTCTGGGTGATGCTGGCAGAGGAGGTGACAGCAGCTGGGAAGATGGCAGTGGCTGGGGGGCCCAGGCTTCCCCACCCAAAGCCTGAATGAAGGCCATGCCTGCCTTGTGCCTCTCCTCCCTCCCTTGACGGGTCCAGGGAAGCCCACCAGCCCCAACAAGGGGAGCCCAAGGCCAGGCAGAGAGGGAGGAGGGGCTGGGGGGCCCCCAGAGAGCTACGGGGAAAGTGTGCTTTGCAAATCCACAGCTTCTGTTTCCCCCTGGCAAGTGGGGGTGGGCTGAGGTGGCGCCTGGCTGCACCCAGTAAGCTGGGTGCTCCAGAGACCACCTCCCTCCGCGCATCCTGGAACCAGTTGGTCCCATACAGGTGACGGAGGACCAGAGAGGAGGGACAGCCAGGTGAGGGACGCCCGTGGGTCTGAGCAGGCTGATCGGAGCCTGGAGACAGGGCTGGGCAGCGCGCCTGGGGCTGCATCCAAGCCTTCCTCCTCACCCCCTGGGAGCTGGGGACCGAGGGGAGGGCGCCCTGCCCCCCAGAAAATGGCAGCACGAGTCCCAAATGGCAGCACGCCACTCCAGAAACCTGCGTCTGCTGAATGCACCAGGGAGGAGGACTGGGCACCTGAGGCTGATGCTGATGAAAAATACAAGGAAAATTGGATGCGGCGGACAGGGCGCGATGGGGCTGGGGCACCTGCTGGAAGGAGGGGCCTCGGGGTGCACGGCAGTCTGTGCCCCCCAGGACCAGACCGAGCTCTCGGGGCCAGGACGTGGCCAGGGTCAGCTGTGGGCGTCCCATGAGCCCAGGTCCCCTCCTGCGTTCAATCGGCGCAGGTGATGGGCAACAGACACCTGGCGCTGGATCGCTGCCAGGCTGAGTGCTAACAAGCCATTCACAGCCTTCCAGAATGCGGGCTGAGAAGCATCCTTCTTTCCTGAGGAGGGATGAAAGGCTCAAAAATGCAAATCATTACCATTTACAACCAAGCGAGTCTGCTAAATTGATTAGGAAAGATTAAACTCCTTGGAGGTGAAGGAAAAGGGGATTTTTCGAGTTTTATGAACCTGCCCCCAGTGACCATGCGTGTAGCAGGGATTTGACAAGCCGGGCTCAGGGGCTGCCTCTTTGCAGCTGCTGGGGGAGCTGAAGGCCGACACCACCCAGGCCAGAGCGCTCGGCGTGCCCGGGGTTGATGAAGCTGAGGCTCAAGCATTGCCCTCAGAGAAACCACGTCTGCCTCCATCCGGGGCCTTGTGCTCTGGCTCTGAGACAGGGTGGGCTACTCGGCCCTGACAACAGTCATTCAGAAGCTGTCCCAGCCCCCAGCAGAGCCTCTCCCCCAGCCCTCCAGATTCTGTCCGCCCGCAGCGGTCCAAAGTGAGGGGAAGTGGCCAGGCCAGTCACTTAGAGAGTAGGACTCGAGCCATGAGCTTTTCTGCTTCTTTCTGTTCCAGGATGGGTGTGTCTCTGATCCATCCGTTCCCTGCAGTCAGTGGAAGGGGCGTGGGGCCAACTGTAAAGGGAAAAGTGAAGGCAGGGAAGAGAAACTGGCCTAGCAGAGGAATCAGGCAGTGAGCTGTCCGTCACAGGGAGCATTCAAGTACTTGATGAGGCTATGGCAGGGATTTTCCTGGTTCTTGGACTAGAAGGTCCTGGTCCCCCCGCCCTTTACGTTATCATCCCCAGGACCCTGAAAGGGAGACATGGAGAGGATGACTGTGCTGCTCCGAATGACCGGTGTCCTCTGAAAACCCCAGATCAAGGCCATCCCCCAGCCCCTCAAAGAGCTGCCTGTGCTACAAAAGAGAGGCCACGAAATTCCCACCCTCGGTGTCCCCTGGGAGAGGAAGCACAGACATCACCACTCCATCCAGGAGTCTGGGCAAGGGGTTCAGAGGGTGGCCCACCCCTGGGCTGGCTCACCTAGGGCCGCTGGGGGCCACCTCCCAGCCTCGGCTCCGGTCCCAGCTGCCTCCTGGACCTGCTCGCACTGCCAGGGCCCCTGCCACGCCGAGCTCCCCCCACCGTTCCACCGGCTGTTTTCCTAACTCAACACCCTCAGCGCTGCTGGCTCGGTACATCCATCCCAGCCAGGTTGACGGCTGCCTGGGGCACCGTTCACTCTGCCTTTTAAGCAGTTACCATTTCTTTTGAAATGTTCCAAGTACTTGCCTGGAAAATCCACGTTTGCTTCTTTAAAAACACTCACAGAAAGGTCCCCAGGCTCTGGATTCCTCCTCCCTCTACCTTCTTTTCCGTTTGCATTTTTAACACAGTGTCTGTCTCTGGTTTCCTAAGTTCCATTATGGCTGCGGTCAGGCCCACTTTCCCACCATAAATGGGATTTGCAGGCGCCCCGACCCCCGAGGCCACAGGGGCCAAGCGGCCTGTTCTCCCCTGGGCAGACTTTCAGCCCCGGGGCAGCTCCTGCCCTGCTTCCCGCTGGACAGGGGTCACCCCCTCCACCCTTCCGGGGCCTTGTGCTACCGAGGTGCCCTGCTTGTGCCGGGCGGGCAGTGGGCAAGCTGCGGGGGCTCACCCCCACTTCCTAGCAGAGTCAGCCCGAGGCCCCGCAGTCATCCGAGCGAGCAGGGCACCCTGAGCCCTGTCCTTGCGCACCCACCCTCGCCGTCCCCCACACCTGAAAGCTGGAAACGCTGAGCCCGGGAGTCCTTGCAGGAAGGTCTTCGCTGTCACCGCCCCTAAATCTCTTTTACAGCTGTCAGGGCGGACGGCTGCTCGGGCAGGGTGCCAGGCCCCTGAGCTCGTCCGTGTCGGGTCACTGAGCCCAGCACAGCGCCTGGCACACGGCTGCTCCGTCATCTCTTCCCCAACCCGCCTCTCGCTTCCTGGTCCTGCTGACGCCTGCCCCTCAGGCTCCGCGCAAAGGGCCCAGGCGTGTTAGCAACCCCCCCCCACCCCCCAATCTGGCACCTGCCCCTGGCAGCCTAGTACTCGAGGGGCCTCTCGGGGCTCCTCCTCTCTAAAGCATCTCACTCCGCTCTCCCTCAGACCCACCGATCACCAGCTGCGAGTCTGACGGGAAACCCAGCCACTGGGCGGCGTTTGCAGGCAGCCTGGCTGGCTCGGTTACCCCTCTCTGAGCCGAGCCCCAGGCAGAGGACTGGGTGTCCCACCTGTGTGACCCTCCCATCAAGAGCTCCCACACCCTGCGCCACCCCCTGGAGGAACTAACCGAGCTTTCTCCTCAAGACGGAGAAAAACAAAGGCAGCACGAGCTGACAAAGCCACAGCGACGGGCTGCCACACGCTCGTCTCCCTGGAGCTGGCGGTCCCGGGCGCCGCTCACCTGCCCTGCGCAGGGGACATGCCTGCAGAGTCCCAGCGACCACCCACCTCTGGCTGGTCCTGTTTCCGAAAGTTCTGGCTACCCGGCGAAAGATACAAAACTCTGAAACTAGCCTTAGTTTTTCTTTTTTTAAAATATGTTTTTATTGATTTCAGAGAGAAAGAGAGAGGGAGAGATAGAAACATCAATGATGAGAGAGAATCATTGATTGGCTGCCTCCTGCACGCCCCACACTGGGGATCGAGCCCGCAACCTGGGCATGTGCCCCGACCGGGAATCGAACCATGACCTTCCTGGTTCATAGGTCGATGCTCAACCACTGAGCCACGCCGGCCAGGCACTAGCCTTAGCTTTTTTCTACCCGACCCAGCACGCCACCTGCCAGGAGCCAGTGTGCCCGCTGAGACGCCCACCCGGCGTCCAGGGCCGGGCGCCAGACTGCGGTGGGTGGGGGGTTCTTTGGACGGGGAACCTGGTGCCTTGCAGCTCACAGAGATGCTGAGAGCCGTGGGGAGGGGTCTGGATGGCCCTGCACGTGAGGTTTGTCTCCTGGAAGGGAGAGAAGGGGGGAGCGATGGTGCGGAAGGTTGGGGAGCTGCAGGGGGTGAACGTGGAGAGCCAGCTGGCTGGAGCAAACGCCCGCTCATTACGGGTGTCCCCGGGGGGGTGTGAAAGGAGGCAAAGGGGAGAAGTCCGCTGAGAGCACCCCGGGCGTGAACACTGCAGAGGGAATGTTTTGAAGACCCGCCCGCAGCAGACCCCTTTGCCGGTCAAGGTTGTTGCGTGGCCTTTGGTTTTGAGCGGGATCCGTTCCCGGTGGTCTGGGGAGGAGTCTGGGGGGGGGGGGGTCCTCAGCCGGGCCCTGGAGAAGGTGGGTGCCTCATCTCTCGAAAGCCTGTGACCAAGGTCCCTTCCGCTGCCGAGGGACCCCTGCCCAGGCACCCCAGCCCCCCTGGGGCCCCTTCCCTTCCTCCCCTGCAGGATCAGCCCCATAGGCCACTGGGCCGCACAGCCCTTGTCTCTTCCCTTTTTCTCTGAAGGGCAAAGCAGTCTCGGGGGTTGGAGGGATGGGACCACCCCGTGGCTGCCTGCGCCCACCACGACCACAACACAAACCAAAGTGCACTGCGACCCGCCCGGCCTCCTTCCTGTAGGTGCCTTGAAACGTCAATGTCGACACGAATGTGATGAACTATCTGGTCCTATTTTCTGTTTGTCTGTTTTCATATGAAATGTCCAAGTCCACTTCCCTTGGCCTTTCTTGAAATAAATAGAAAGATTTAACTTTTACCGTCGTCTCGCCGCTGACTCTCGGCTCGGGGCCCAGCGTTCCAGGGGCCAGGGGTCTGTCGCACCGTCTTGGCGCCCACACCCCATCCCCAGGCCTCGCTCCCT